AATGGGACACAGTGAAACGGTATAATTCAACCATAAATTTAGTCCGTTTAACTTCAGCTCTAGGGTCGCTTTCATTTGGTTAGAAAAAACGGGTGGAAAGGATTCGTAGCTTAGGCTCACCGTTTTACGTAGGAAAATAGCCTCAGACTTGTCACTGTCGTTGATAATAAGTTTAAATAAAATTTTCCTGAGTAATGAACTCTTCGCCTCATTTTAGTCTTTATAAATTAAAAACTAAGGTCGTACTATTTAGTTGCATATTAGGAAATGGCAAGATATCTTGACTTTAGCTGGAAAATACTTCCTAAGAGTTTGGCGTCATTGATCTTCAGGGGCTTTTTTAATATAAACATGCCATTTGCCTAGATATAATGATAACAATAATTTGGCTCAGTCTTGCCAAAAATCCATTCAGGCATTATTTCCAGAATTGACCTTATCCACGTGGAGAGTACTTACTTGTTTACTTAAACCTGGTTCTGATGTGCATCTTTGAGAGGATTTTATGAGACCTATTTACACTCCACCCACTTGAGGAAGCCAGAGGGAAGTGGAAAGTTGACTCATGAAATCCACTCAAAAGGGCAGACCAAAATTAGGATTAAATAAGCAAGAAGTTTTGACAGTGAAGAGGTGATACGCGGATATAGAATAGGCTAATACATCAGAACAGAAGGAGAGATATTACAACTTTTTAGTGGACAATTGATCAAAGAATTGACGTCATTTATCTCTTTGACGAGTTGTGGTATGGTGCCAATACTGGCAAGCTTCATTGACGATACCGGAAAAACGTTTAGGAATGTACGAAGTCCACGCTCTGACTCTAGAATTTATCCTGAATACTTTGAACTTCGGATAGAGTGAATTCCTCTAGGTCTTCTTGGCAATACAACTAAGTTGTGAAAATGACATCCAAAAACTTCTATACAACGAAAGAAGACTGCTACCATGTTAAAGGCCACCCAATCTTGGTCTTCATATTTTCTATTAGAACTATTTATTAAATCATTGTTGTTCCTATCTGTAATGACTTATCCAAACACTTCCCCTTTCGATGCTTAGTCGTGTTACATCAGGACGTTTCCATGGCTCAACAACCCTTGACCCAGAGATTGCGCGAGTGTGTGACCAACCCTTTAGTTTTATTTCATGTCGACCAATCAAAACTTGGAACCCTATTGTGCCTCTGTATTGAACCAATCAAAAGGGGACATGCAAGCCTACGTAAGTGTACTGTCTGGGTCGTTCACGCGTTCTTCCTTATCATCCATTCCGCTGTGATCTGCGGACTTTGGACAAACCACATTCACTATTTGACTTGCATTCTCAGCACCATACTGTACTTCATATTTTCCTAAATAGTATACTTCTTAATATGACCTTTCTTTTTCTCTCTACGTCCTAGGGCATCACCTTTATATCACGTTACAGAGTGCAAGTTTGTTATGGTTCAGAGACCAACTTGCGCCTTATCAAATCATAAAATTATCATTTGGCTGACTCTATGCTCGTCCTATGAGAAAGCACATTCCCAGATATTTTGTCGAAATCTTATCCAACATTGCTCTCTGTCGCCATGAGATCAAATGCAAAAAAATACAGGATTTTAATATAAAAAGACGGTAAATCAGGATTTTAGTGGTAAGAATTTATGTATCCATTAATATATAGTGCAATCAAGAGAATGCTAATTCGTATTCAATAAATAATGTAATACTGCGTTCTGAAATAGCTTTTGGTATTTCCATCTCACTAAATCTAGCACTTTGCTGTAAAGTTTTAACAGTTTGTCTTTTTTTATGTAGCTTAAAGACATGGTGGACTGCAGTTTCGACCTCACCCAAGTCTTATCAACATGGATAAATGCCTGGCCTTCATTGAAATTCACATCTGCCCAGTGACCCAAGGGTACTCATGTCAATGTGGCCGAGTGGTTAACGTATTGAGCTTAAACGCTGCACGGTCATGGTTCGACTCCCGCTGGGAGTGTTGATAAGATCAGCTGAGACGAGGTCGAAACTGCAGTCCACTCCAGTCGGGAGGATAACACTAGTTGAGAAAGCAATGCCATGTGCAATTCAATGGATACGTCAACTCTACTCATATCATTGTGGGAGAATCTAACTCCCAGTACTTCATCACCTTAAATGCAATATAGTGAATACATTTCATATAACTGATTTACTGGTAGCCTCTAAAGTCTGCTCATAGACGAAAAATATTAGCAATGGTTTCACAAGAATACAATATTTGAAATTAAAAATAAATTCAAAAGCTTAAGAGGGAAATTAAAATTATATTTTTATTGAAAATTTTTCTGGTCTTTCCTGCGTATGCTTACATCGATCAGCTCGCCATTGAACAACCACTCGTTCGTGACGGGCGTTTCAGAATCGACCTCAAACTCAAGGCGAACTGTTTGCCCATCCATGACTGCCAATCTTGAGGGTAACTCCCGTATTACGGCCGGCGCCAGTCCCGACAAGCGTTGCACTTCTTCATCAATCAGCCTGGACGAAAGTAACACTTGCTCCGGCATCTCCAAATGTGAAACCCCATTCCTATATTCGTCGTCATTTAGAGTGCATAATCCTGGTGGGAATTCAATTGGCTGCGTTAAAAGGTCTATTGCTTGGAGCAACAATGCGACTGACAAGTCAAGGTGTTCACGTTCAGCCACCTCTTTAAGGAGTCTCTTTGCCGCCTTCGTGGACAGCTGTACCGAGTAAATATGCGAGTCACTGGCACGCTGGGCATGAGGGCATTCAAGAGTGACATATCCGCCGAAAGAATCTGGTACATAGCCAGGGGTAAATAGAGGTCTCGCCAGGGGTATACCATCTAGACTCCAGATAAAATCTTCGGCCGTGAGATGGGCTGGGCCATGAAAGATAGCCCTTGGCAGTAGGTGTTGAATAGACTGTGTTCTATCTATCTCATGATTTACTGACAAAATTCCCACCCGTTTGCACAGTTCTTCAACAGTTAACTGAGGCATCGGCTCTTTTCCCATCATTCTCGGGAGCAGAGTTATAGGAACAGTAATTGTGCATGTCTTTAGGCAATCGGTACGTGCGGCAATCGAATCTGAGTTAGCTGAGTGACAATTTCAAAGATAATTATGTAAAAAAATTTAATTATCTGTATAAAATAAATTACATAATACAAATTGTATTTAAGAAAAGAAAAGTTTCCTATAACGACGTCTCTTAAGATAATTTCTTAGGCGACAGAATGGATGGCGATACTTTTCGCTCAATTAGTAGTTAATTTCAGCAAATTTCTACTATATTGCTTGAGCCACTCTGCATTATAGCTGCGTCATGTCAGAAAATCCTGGTTTCATTTAAGGGAGAACGGTTTGCAGCATGTCAATTTCTATTTCTCTTTAAACCGATACATAATCTCTAGGCTCAATAAAGTTTCGTAAGAATTCATTAAAAGTGATTCCTACTCTTCTAACTTTATTAAAATTACTTAAAATAGGAGTTGCTTTAATGATTGCTATGGATTTTCTCTCATAGGGATATCATTAATTTATGACGCAGGTATATATAAAAATAATTTTGCGATTTTTTACTATATCTATTTGCAAAGTATTAATGTAAGCCTCATAATGATGAAGTGTGATGCTGTCTATCCTCGGAAAAAGGGTTATATATTTTTCTTTTTTTGGCATATTGCTCCAGAACTGGCAGACGAGACAGCCGAAGCAGCCTCTATCTGTCATGTATTTTTAGTCAAGACTAAATATAATCCTAATCACTGAATATATCTTGCAGACTTATTAACTTGCTTATATGTGATGGATGTGAATAGCAAGGAGTGGCTTCTCTGTTTCGGTCGCAGTAATCTTTCGATTCACAGAAGTGTTCGGACCTCGTGTTTGCAACTTGGTCGCTTTACCAAAGTGACCTAGTTGGGCATACCTTTTAAAAATGCTCTGGTATAGTAGGTATGATTATTTTATGCATCGGATCGTGGATTTAGTACATGCCCGGAAGTTCCTACGCCAACGTAATGGGTAGTTTCTGTCATTCTTCCCATTCAGACAGGCTTAACCTGTCTCTGACGAGTTGTGGCTTGGCACCAAGAGTGGTAAGACTTGCTGACATTGCCGACGAGGTTGTCGACGAAACGTCTGAAAATGTACCAATTCTACGGTCCAATGTCGGGAATTATCAAACCTACTATACCAGAGGATTTTGGACAAGGTGCATCCAATTAGGTAACCTTGACAATAAGACCAATTTGCCAGCATAAGTTCAGATCACTTGCTTATATATAGCGTGCATTATTAGGGTATTGTTAAAGGTGATTATTACTATGAAATCATATTCATCATTTTTGAAGTTGCGTTTAGCAGCTTCTAAAAATTCTTGAGCTTACTTCCATTTCGATTGAAAGTGTTGGGTGAAGAGATTCGAAGGTCGGTTCCACCAGAAGATGACGGCGGATTCCTCTTGACCAG